TGGACACCGCAGCCACACGCCGAGGCTCGGTGATCCCAATAGCACTGTTTGAACTAAAGGGGTGAAGGAAAGAAGAGGAGAGGTTGTTTGGCTGCTTGTTTTAAAGAGAGAAACACTTAGCTGACAACAGAATTTCTGCACAATGGTTCTAAATTAAGTAGTATCACTCACACCGTATCACCTTCAGTTACAGTCAGAAAAGAAAGACAGCAAGGAAGGTTTGGGATTACCCTTCTGTCATATGTGTATCGATCTGAAGACGCATGTCTCTCAGGAATTTTTGCCCCAAATGTTGTCTCTAATTGCAGCTCACTGAACTCCAGTCCCCCTGGACTCTGTCACCCCTCCGGTGACAAAGTCCATTTCAGGAGAAACTCAGGCTGGGGCAGCAGCAGCTGGATGCATCTTGACGCCGCTGGCAAGAAGCATCTTATGAGGTGCCCAAGCTTATAAATGTTACCAATAGCACTAGATGAGCCACAGCTATTTTCAAAGATGTTCTTAAGAAAAATGAACATCTTCTTGCAAAGGTAAAACCAAACATGTGTAAGCAGAGGTTAAACTATGTGAGACAGGCAGACGATAAAGCAGAGATAGCAGACAATAACGCCCCTTTGAGAAAACAGGCCGGTGGTTCTGAAGGAAATTTTTCCCTTAGATGTTTCAAAAGATTGCTTATGAGGAGAGACTTTTGCAAGTCAGTCTTATCCCCTCTGGATTTTTATGGCCACTGCCACTGTGCAGAAAAGGCCAGGTTCAGTTCAGCCATATGAGAAGAACAGAAACAAAATCAGAAGTGACTGAGCTCAGCTTGAATTTTTCTCATTACACTTGCTACATCTAAAAGACGACTCGTACCTGGCATAGCCAGCTTCATAGAGAAACTGAGGTACTTGTGTGGTTTTACCGCTTCCCGTCTCTCCACATATGATCACAATGGGATTCTCACTAATGGCCTCCATGATGATTTGCTCTTCGGCAAGGATTGGAAGCTTCAGTCTTGCTTCCTAAATAATATAAACCATCTATTTTAGTTGCATTGTTTTGTCTCTCGCTCCCTTTCTGTTTGCCCTGGGACTGAAAACTGCTACCTTCCTCAGATTATAAAACCCACAAAAAGGAATTCTGCAAGCTTTGTGGTTCAGAAAGCTCTAAACCAGCTAATATCACACCAGTGTGTCCAAGAACTGGAGTCATCAGAACAGCTTCCCAGAAAGCGGCTGGCAAGCCCTGCACTTTAATTCATGAAACTTCAGAGTCCCTAGAGTTCATTAATAGAGCACTTCAAGGAAAAACTAGTTTCACAGCTCTGTCTCGTCTGCTCAGACACATGCAGAGCCTTTCCCATTTCTGCAGAACGCCCTACCTACAGCAGAGTAAAACGATCCAGCGTAAAACCCAGCATAATGGGGAGCTAAAAGTGACTTAACAAGATTTCCCAGCAAAGAATGACAAAAGACTGCTAATAGATTCTATATTTAAAACTAGAGACAAATGCCTATATCCTAAAACAAAACTAGTTTTCTTTCTGCTAGATTAGACAGGCTTAAAGCCTGGACGTGTGCGTGTACAACTTGCCAGGACGAGGACCCCAAGTGCACGCTGCTGCCTCGCAGGATCAGCAGGACACCCAAGGGAACGCCGCGGCGCCGCAGTGACCTCACCTGATGGAAGGCACCGTAACTTCCAACCCCCTTGATGAGCATTTCCAGGCTCTCAGAGCCTCACCTGGATCTCAGGAGACCTGTCCACCGGAATGAAAACCGCCGGCTTGCGAGGTGCTTTGTTGGAGGCTGCCTGGCAAACTGGTACGCTGGGACCAGCCGGCTGCTGGTTGGCCACCACCTTCTTCACGCCCTCCTCTGGCTTTTCTGCAGCATTCAAATCGCTGGCTGAGGACTTGCCAGTTTCTTGTTTCAGCTCTTCCTTCTCCTCCTCAGAGCTACTGGGTCCTTCCTCAGGCTCCGATTCTGAATCTGAGCTGTGTCTTCTCTTGTTTGCACCACTGATGCTCCTGATCTTTTCAGGTAGAGCAGTCCCTGGATCCTGTATCACCCTAGAACAAAACACCAACATGTGAACATTTTGGTCAGTGTTCCAGAACTCAAGCCAGGCACATCTTCCACACCAACCAGAAAAGTCGCATCACCAAAAGTTTTTTTCAGGCTTTACTCAAATAGGAAAAACTTCTACAGCTTGGATGTAGAGCAACACGAGAAGACGTTATCCAGACAGGTTAACCCAGCTCTCCAAAGATCTCCCATTCCTGGAGATTTTTACAACTCTGATAGGTAAAGCCTTGCCTGACCTGTACAAATTGCTGCATTCAAACCTAAACACACTCCATGCTGATACTCATTTCTTCAGAAGACATCTTTGTCGTTTATTTCAACTTCTGCCAAAATGCAGCTCTCGATAAATCCAGTTGCCAAGGACCACATCAGCCAATGTTTTCCAATACAATAAAAAAGTTAACGTTTATCCAACAGTTATGTAGTTTAGCATAATTTGTAAGAATATGCAGGGGTAACTGTCACACAACTCATCCCTTATGAAAGGGAAGGCCAAGTTATTTTCATCCTCTCCAGAGGATGTCATTCAAACAAGAAAATAAATACCATATTATCAGATAGAAATAGAAAATTATTTAACTCCATCCATTCTGAAGAACCTGTATGCACTAGGAAGAAAAACAACTAAATCAAAAAAAGCGAAGTAGGTTGCCAAGTTTTCAACCACAGTGATAAACCAGAATGGTTCTTTCCAAATAATGCTTTACCTTTTTGTCTGATACATGCGCTCCCCAATACCCAATTTGGAAGTGGTGTACAGAAGCTTCATTTCCGCCTCAGAGGCTTGGACCTCGTTCAGCTTGCTCAGCAACTCGGCTCGCTATTTGGGAAAAACAGCCAAAGTCAGTGCGTATTTTCACCAGGAAATAATTTCATTTCAAGATTTGTTCTTGAGCTCTAAAGGGTATCCTATGGCAAATCTTGCTGTGAACCTGAAAAGACGTTCCTGCTGCTATGAGGTCAGTCCTCCCTGATGAAGATTTCAGTCCTGCACTGGAGCAAAAATAGAAATGCAGACCTGACCCTTCATCGCTGCAATGAAAAGCTCAGCTGCACCCTTCAAACAGCAGCAAAGGAAATGGATTTGGACTAAAATGCTGGAGGTCTGGAGCAATGGAAGCTTCCTTCAACTCCCTCATGTGGGACACAGCGCTGGCAGGAGGTCAGACAGCCACAGTTTAAAGCTACCTCCAAAAATAGTTTGGCAAAACCATTATTCAGCCATGAAAACCAAGAGAAATTTTGCCCGGAAAGCTTCTACAAAGACAGAAAAGCTCTATTTGCATACAGAAAATATACAAGAGCTGGAAATAAATATTGCTGCAGCCAGTGCTTCTGAAGAGTTAGAGGTGCATGAAGTTTGGCATTTTGCAGCAGGACAAATCTTCTCACACAATCTGTGACAATGCTTTTAAAATGTAACATCATTTACTCTGCCAGAGATGTACGTCACAACACGCACCTACTCGGGCAGGGTCAAAGAAAGAACAGGACCCAGGATCCAGAACGGATGCGTTCCTGCAACACCCGATCCACTGAGAGGGAGGGGAATGTTTTTCCCCACTAGATACACTCAGGAGTCCAGGGGTGGTAGCATTTTTTTGCCAAAACACCCAGCAAAGGGATGGTTAATGCTGTTGTAACATAAACTCTTCACCATCTGCACATCCTTGACACACCCCAGACAATTCGCACCCCAAAACCCACTGGCTGGTACGCAGAGACCTCACCCCAGCTCTGTTTTTTCATGCCAGGAATGGGCCATTGCATCCCGTGTTGGGGATTGCCGGTGTTTCGACGCAAAGCAAACCTCTGCAGATGCTTAACATCAACCTTGCCCAAACGCTGGTATTAACATTATCATTTTAACAGCAGTCACAAAGCTGGAGTTAGCAGCAAGCTGCAATGTACCTCTTTTTTCTTTTCCTTCTGTTCTAAAATTTTCTGCAGATTTTTCTTCTGCTTCTTGCTTAAGGGCTTCTTCTGTTGTTGCACAACTCTGGCTACTTTTTTCTTCTTTGCTTTTTTTGCTGGCAGGACCAGGGCATTACTTGCATCAATTCCCTTCAGCGTTGCTTCATCTGAAAACATGTGTTTGATTATTCACCTGTGCCAGGCAGATTATTTTCAGCAAGGCTTATCGCAAACCATGCTGGATTTAGCTATTTTAAACAAACACAACCCTCACTCCCAGCCAAAAAAATTACCACATTTCAGCAAGGGTGGAAGACCATGAAACTGGGGGCTTGACAACTCTGTGCTTATTTCAGCTGTGAGGGTAATTTTCCTTGACTTATGTAATAACATTATGAAATTTTTGCCTTTGCTTAATTCCACCCGGGGTCAGGGGGCAGCAGAGCAGATCAGGACACAGCGTGTCTTGAGGTGACCCCGCAGCCTCCTGCCTCTCCCAGGCATTAGTAATTTTTAATACTAGAAATCTGTATTAGTAAAGTTTGAATAATAAAAGTAGTACAATAAACGTGCTTTTTAAAAAAGTAACATTAGAGAATGGAAACGTTAAACATCTTTTCAATAACTGCTTTAATAAAGAACTGCTTACATGCAGTAATTGCTTTAATAGCGCTATTAATGCAAAGGCTATGTTTTAAAATCACTTTAATGCTGCCTGTATAAGTATCATAAAAACGCAGCAGAGACATGACAGCAATCCCGATCTCAGCGACTCAGCTGTAGCGAGCCGAGGGGCCCGAGCGGCCGGCAGGAACACAAGGCCAAGGAAGAGGGGCTGGGGCGCACCTCCCAGCTCCAGCGGCAGCTCCAGCGGCTCGG